CCCACATGGAAGACCCAGATGAAACTCCTGTTTCCTGGCTTCAGCTTGGCCCAGCCCCAATTATTGCAGCCATTTTGGGGGGTGAGCCAGCAAATGGAAGGCCTCTTTGTCTCTCCCTCTCAGTAACTATGCTTTTCAAATAAATAAAATAAATTTTAGAAAGGGGGTTCCATCTACCTCAAAGCTTTGACAGGATGAGACTCCAGGGACACATGAACATTGTTTTAAGTATCTGAAGGGTTGGCATGTGGAAGAGTGATTATACCAATCATGTATGGCCTCTGAGAGATAAAGTGGGCTCTGGACAAGTTTTGGCCTAGTGGAAAGTTGGACCACCTCTACTTGGTAGTAGAACAAGTAATCTTGGGGTGCCAACTCCTCTCTCTGGAAGCATTCGAACCAAGACTGGGCTACCTCTTGGAAATGGATGCCTTTACTCTCTGAAGAGATGACATAAATGACAGTCATGGAGCTCATTATTTATAAAGAATTCACCTTTACTTTTCTCAAAGAGCTCTGCCACCCCCAGATAAGGTAATCACTGTTCTCATTGAAATGTTACCATGGGATCTTCCTGGCAGTAGGATTGCTATTCCTCCTCTGGAACTAGATGGTATTTCCCAGCCGGTCATAGTACATTATTTCATGCGATCCTGCTATGATAACCATCTATAGCTGCATGGTCCACAGCCACGTTGACTACAACTTGCACAGTTCTGTGACCCCCTAACCAGAGACACATTTAGCTATTGCTTTCAGTCAGGAAACTATGATAATAGGGTGTATTGCATAGACAGTCTTTGAACTTAGAGCATTATGAAATTGGACGTGCAGCCTCATGGATTGCTTGTGGCCACAGAAAGTAGAGGAATAAAATCAGACTCTGTCCTTATATCACTGGAAGACATGCAGCTGAGGGTACTATCTCTGGTACAAGTTGATGACTCTGGTACTACAGGTTCGTGAGCATGGCACAGTATCCAAATGGCATTATTGTTTTTGTCAGAAACCCATAAAGTCTCTCTGTAACAGAGGGATCAATCTGGTGGTCAACCCAATTTTGGCAATCTCAGGGAAAGCGGGGGCTGACTATCACTAGCAAGTCTTTCTATAAGTAAAAGGAACTCAGACACCAATTAAGAATTTTAAGCACCAGGCTTGAATGATAATTAAAGCACCAACAGTATAACTGAAAAAAAAAAAAACCATAAGAACTTGAATTCAAAGTTATATCAAAACCAGGAAAACATGCTAAGGATCAATGTGTGGGATCAAGTGGATGTTGGTACCCATAGGGAGATGCGTAGCTCTTCTTGGCTCCCCTGGGCCTTGAGTTTGGAAGGAAAATATCACCCAGAATTCACTGAATGCTAAGGAGGACAGTAGCAGGTATGACATTTTCTTTCCCAATATTAAAGTAGGAACTGGGCCATCCGTAAGTCTACTGAGAACTGAAGTCAGCCCAGCAGGCCCTCCCAAGGTAGGAGCTGTGGCATGAAGTCTAGTGAAAGATGCAACATGCCTGTTGCGTGTGTGGGTTTTGTTTGATTAGCTGATTATGTCTATGATTATAGCTTAGAAGATAGTTGAGGGAAGTGGTGGTTATTTTAGAAAGAGGAAACTCAATGTGAAATGTAGCTGGACAGAAAGTAAATGGCTGGTAAGACCAAGATTGAGACCTCCAGAGGGGAATGATCGTGAGAACTAGGAGCAGTTTTGCATGAAATGAGACTTCTTTGTGTTTGTAGGATTAGAATGGATTTCAGACATGAAGGATATGTGTTTAGGCTATAGTTGTTATGGATGTTTCTAAATGGACAAAATGATTCAAAGATGGCATGGAGGTCATGTGGCAGGGTGGACTCTCTTCCTCAAAACAATTTGGACAACAATTTGGTTTGGTTACTGTATCTCAGTCTCGAGTCCTGGAGACAATGTTGAACTCACCTGAGAATTGTTGAATTCTTCTTTTCCAGCATCAAGTGTCTGATTCTAGGAGGAAGAATGGAGAGGGAGGAAAGAAGGGGAGGGGAGAGGTGTGGGGGAAGTTTTTTCAGGAGCTGGGTGGACAGACTACTTGAAAAGATCACGTGAGCTAACATACTTATTCCGACTTCTACATTGGGAAGGAGCCCACAATACAATGTAACCATTCCCCTCAACTCTCAACTACATCATCTCCATGGAACTACTCAGAAAAGCCTGCAGTACTAGAGAAATTCACCACACCAACAGATGCTAAACTCTCCTTTCAAAACCATCTCTTCTATTTCTGGAGCAAGCCAGGAGCATTTCCCCCCTTATGTCTTTGTTCCTGAAATGGAGCCTGAAGTTTCTCCCTCTGTCCACTCTGCCCATCTCTATCCTTTGGTTCACCAACCCTCAGCTCAAATTCTAGCTCCTCTGCAAAAGCTCCTCTACTACAGCCTGTACTGCTTGCCTCTATAGCACTGACTATCTGCACATCTTGTAGCTTCCTGGAATTAAGCATTTTCTTGTGTGGGTTCTTTTTCTTAGTGGAATCATAAGCACCTCAAGAACAGAAACTGCTGAGTTCTTTGCCTTCCAATTCCTGGCCCTCTTTCTCATTGATGTACTGGGGATATGATGGACTCATTGGTACTGGAACTTCCTTTATATCTTCACTGCATAAAGATATCTTATAAGGTCTCAGGTAGCTAATGATCAGTTGATCAAGAAGCTATATATGTACCAGTATCTGAGATGATGGAAGAGTGAGATGACAGTGGTTTCAAAGGTTTGGGGTTACTTGTATGATACAATGTGCATGATGTATCTCTCTGCTGAATCCAATCTGGCAACACTGCTGCATGAAACCCTCACTTCCCCTCTAGGAGAGAAGTATTTCTAAATCCTTTTTGATACAAGTAGGAATTCTGCCTCAGAGAGGCCAGAGGGTGAGGACCATAGTTAACAGGCTTAGAAACTGTGGTGTTTCCTCTGGCAAAAGATCTCTGTGAGTGAGATCCCAGTGGAAAGAACAGGTCTTCAAAGAAGGAGGTACCTTTCTCTGAAGGGAGGAGAGAACCTCCACTTTGACTATGACCTTGTCTAAACAAGATAAGAATTGGAGAACTCAGAGGGCTTCCATAGCCTTGGAAACTCATGACTGGAGCATAGGGAGATTACTGATGCCATAGACAGGAGTGTCAATTGGTAAAGTCAACAACAGGAGTCACTGTGCACTTAACTCCTCATGTAGGATCTCTGTCCTTAATGTGCTGTGCATTGAGATTTAATGCTATAACGAGTACTCAAACAATATTTCACTGTGTGTTTCTATGGGGGTGCAAACTGTTGAAATCTTTACTTAATGTATACTAAACTGATCCTCTGTAAAAAAAAAAAAAAAGAAATTATCAACTCCCAACTTGACTCTCACTGGGATTAAACATGACAATAGGTCTGATCTGATTTCATCATCATTTAAAAAAATCATCTATTATTTTTCACTTTATGTTTCTGTGTGGGAGCAAACTGTTGAAATCCTTACTTAAGGTATACTAAGTTGATCTTCTGTATATTAATATAATCGAAAATGAATCTTGATGTGAATGGAAGGGGAGAGGGAGTGGGAAAGGGGAGGGTTGCGGGTGGGAGGGACGGTATGTGGGGGAAGCCATTGTAATCCATAAATCGTACTTTGGAAATTTATATTCATTAAATAAAAGTTAAAAAATGCAGCAAAAAAAAAAAGAAACTGTGGTGTTTCTCTATCTGTCTGGTCCTCCCACATTTGCCCCTTGTCACTGCTCCTTTGTACTTCTCCATTTCCATTTTAGAAAAGTCTTATCTTCAATTATCTGTCAACACACCCTTCATTCCTCACCAAATCTTAAACCCACTTGGTCCCTTGAGAAGCCAGCTCAGGTTGAGACACAGGAAAGGTGCCCTATGAATTTTCAGTTGATACATCCTGGCAGTCTTCCGGTGGAAATTGCTGCAGAGGTACCCCACTGTAGATCAGTGATCCCCAGCTCCTAATTTAGTGCCTGTTCTAGGGTGGGTATATGAGGTAGAGTCAGCATTTATAAACTCCCTCAAATGTGTTTCTTTTTGTGTTTTACCTCTGTGAACTACTAAGAGAGACAACTTTGTCTCCCCTTGCTTCTTTCCTCTTTTTTTCTTTCTTTTTTCCCCAAAGAGGTTATCTGGTAACCACGTAACTCCTCCAAGCCTAGAACTTCATTCAGAAGGTTTAACTCTCACTCAGAAAAGAAAATCAAGTTTTAGACAGATTTTCTGATTCGCCATTTTGTACTAATCTGTCAGCCACCCTTTCCCCACATCTGAGGCATTCGAAAAGTTGCAAGACCTTCATATATCTGCCTTAACCTTGCCTTAGTTCCTTAATTTATGAACAGCAAGATGTGGCTACTTCATGCATGCATGCACACGTGGGTGTGCACACACACACACTCACACTCACACTCACACTCCTTTGCTTATCTCCTTCATGGCCACTGGGTGATATTCAAAGTCACTATGATGATGATGACAATGACAATAATGAATGCCTGGCTATGCTTCAATAAGTAGTTATTGACATTATTGACAGTAGATGTCTCCCCTTCTGGATCCTCAGGGAGAAGAGGAATGCAGCTGTTGGCTCCTCTCAGACCAAGGGCAGTAGAGGATGGCTAAGAAATCATGAGTGTGTGGTGGAAACAAACTCTGTATAGACAGCTTGCTGCAAAACAAAACACTCTAAACAGCTATTCTCCTCAAACTCATTTCTAGTTTTGGTACTTAGGCTAATCTCTCTCTCTCTCTCTCTCTCTCTCTCTCTGTGTGTGTGTGTGTGTGTGTGTGTGTGTGTTGGTGTGGGTGTGGGTGCGTGTGTGTGATTTTCCTTAAATTCTTTCCCACCCAAAGCTCAGTTTCTGTATCTGTAAAATAGTGGGGGAGGGGTGGGAGATGATAAGGACAGGACAGGATCTTCTCTGAAAGGCTCAGGGCACTGTTGTGTGTTCCCTGTCCCAGGACCTCTGGGGAGGCAGCACAGTTGCTCTAGTTGTAGCTTAAATATCTCCGGCCTCTTTCTCTAAGCAGTAGCTTAAAATTCCCAAGAGAAAAGGCAGTCTTGTGACCAGCAGCCCTCACCTCTTTCCCACAGTCACCCCAAAGATTAAGCTCCATCCCCTTCTCTCTGAGACTGCCCACTCTGGCAGCATCCACTTACAGACGCTTCCCAAATTGTCAGCAACCTGTGGGGACTCGGCTTCAGCCTGTTGACTAACCTGCCATAGTCCAGCTCCCAGAGCGACACTTCCTGTGCATTGGAAGAGAAGGCAGCGTCTCCCGAGGCTGAGAAGAGAACTCTGG